ATGATGACATGCTAAGACAAAATGTGTCACTTGGGTCACACTAGTGGAAATTCAGGATTTTTTCAAATATTCCCTTGTAGAATTAAGAACTTAAAACTTTTATACTATTAAAATATGAATTATTATTTAAGATTTTATGCCCTTCTAATTGGTATAACATAAAGAAAAAGTAGTATAATAAAATTTTGAATGTAAGACAGTAAAACCTTGTGTCATGCAGAGTAAAGGATGCCTGGGGTGATAGGGTTAAAGGACACAGAGAATCAGTAGGGGCATGCAACTAATAATATAAGAGCATACAAATTATATCCAAAAATAAAATGTTGCTACTAATTAGTAATGTATTAACAACAATTAACATGGGAAATTGACGTGTACAGTATATACATAAATAGGTTAGAGTGGAGAGCTGCATTAGCATGCAGGCTGCAAAGAGAACATTACAGATTAATTTCATGTTGAAAAGTAATTAGAAAGAGAGGCAACACAGTTTGAAGATTGTGTATTTCACTGTTTTTCTTCTTACTTTCAGCATGGAATTAACCTCTCCTATGATTACTTGATAGAGAGGCTGGTGTATTCAAACAGTTTTGTACAAACAGGCAAAAGTGTTCTCACTACAGAAATATACTTTTTTCTTTTTTTCTGAATAGTGGCTGTTGGCTATTCCAAAACACTGTCTCTCACTTTTCACTGACAATAATTTAAAATTTGTAAATCATGAAACAAGGTAGTTGCCCTACAAAACCACAGATTGTTTTGCCGAATTTTATAAATGTAACTGAGTTGACAGGTAACACTGATCAGTCATTCATGTATAATTAATATTTCATCCCTCACTTCGCTTATTAAACCTCCATTGTATGTATTATCTTATCTTTATGTGTGTGTGTTAGTTTTGCTACTAGCTAAAGAAAATATTTGATACAGTATATTGTAGCCACTTGCTCTGTTTACACAGCAGAAGTGCAAAGTTTAAACATTTAATTGTTATTAGAAGCATTCAAAAACTCAATGAGTAATTGCCCTCTTAATCAAGATGCAGAGTTGCATTAGATATAGTAAACTAGAAGTTATAATTATCATATTAAAATGTTTATAAACTAATTATATGGAAGTGTAGTTCATATTCATGTTTACATTCCATGCAAAAAGCAATGTGATTGTTCATTGGCTGACTGAGATATCATGAGATTTTTTTTACACATTTGCCATATTGTTAGTTTCAAGTTTTGGACAAAAGTGTACATTTACGAGTTTATCAAAAACATGGATAAATGGATATTACGTATTGGCCAAAAACAATCTCACCTTTCTTCAAGTGATGGCTCAGAAGTAAACAAACAGAAGGAAGCATTAAATGATAATTGTGATAATGAAGAATAACAAATTCATGGCTCTGTAGATGTACCAAGCCCTTCCTTGGTTTTTGATTTTATGCTTTTGTCAATAAACTGGACACCAAACTAAAAATTAAAGTGTTCAAATACCAGGAGGGTTATTTAAAAGTTCACTTCACTTACAGAATAATTAGGAGGAATAAATAATGAGGAAGAACCACACTGCAATATTTGTTCACAGATTTTAAATATAATAGCAACGTCATGCCAAATGAATTTACAAGGTATTTGGAAACCAAAGACGTTTGAGGATGTGGGTAAAATCAATGATTTCTTCAACTGACATGTGAAACAATTGAAAGAGAAAAGCAACTTACTTGCAAATCAAATCACTGTTTCATCAAAAGCATTGAAGGTTTCTATAGAAGCACCTTATTTGATTGGGAAAAGCAAGAAGTCATAAATATAGGAGAGACATTAGTTATTCCTACTGCTGCAAAAATTTGTTTCGATTGCACATGAAGAGAGGTATGGTGAAGTCCTCAAGTTTATTCCTTTATCATGTGACACTGTCATGAGATGTATAGATATAATCTTTGCTGACATAAAAAATGCAGTTGATAACAAGCATCCAGAACACTTTGAACTTCATCATACAACTTCATGAAACCATAAATGCTGCAATTTTAACTCAGCATTTTTGTACATGTACAATACTGTTACAAAAAGGAAGTGTGTGAAGAGTTTCTGTTTTTGCCAAGCACTGAAAAAGAGAGCTACAGGGGAAGCCACATTTTCTTTTGTTGATGAGTTTTTCACCACCGACAATGTTTCTTGGATTACCAGTGTTAGGGTATGCAGTGATGGGGTAGCTGCATTTATAAGAAACAAGAAAGGGTTCAGAGCCATGATAAGTGCTCTTACTCCAGCTTTAACATTTTCACATTTGCATCATACACAGGGAAGCATTAGTTTCAAAGAAACTGAAACCTGAAGCAAACAAAATGCTACAAGATGCTGTGAGTGTTGTGAACTTTGTCAAATCAAGAGCTTTAATCAGCAGGCTGTTTTCCATTCTTTGTGGAGAAATGGGATCCATGTATGATTAGTTCCTGCTGCAAACAGAGATGTGCTGGTTGTCTTGTGGGAATCTACCCAGTCACATCATGAAGCTCAAAGACAAACTTTGTATTTTTTTTTTATCCAAATCTCAGGCCCATTCTTCTCAGGAAATTGGTGAGTAAACGAAAAGTGTTTGCCTTATGTTGTGTACCATTTTAAGACTTGTCTTATTTTTATATCGGGTGTAAGGAGGTGCAATGAAATGTATGTTTAGAAAGGGATGGTGCCGTAAAAAAATGGTTTGTGCACTACTACCAAAAGGATACTAACCATGACAATGATTTTTTTTTTGTTTTTCCAGATACCAAGGCAGCTTTAATTTCACTTAATTATAACAACTAACCATGTAATTATTTTAGTTTTAACAAGAGAATTTACCACTTTTGTATTTATTATAAAATTAAAAGAAATAATTTAATATAATAATTGATATATACAAATTCCACATATCTACCTACCTGTACACTTACTGGCATTCCTTACTAGTTATGCATTGAAAGTTGACCTAGTGTATTTGTTTATCATAGTTTATGAAGCTAAATGCTTAATGTGACGTAATTATTCAGTAGTATTCAAATTCTGAGCAAACTAACATAGTTATGTGTATATTTATATTAGTAATGTGATACAGCTTTTATGAAAGTTTTGTTGATTTTTTTTAAACAGAGTACAGAAAATTCTGTATTTACAGCAGTTTCCATTTTCAGAATTTATAACAAATTATTGTTTGTATTCATTGCTTTATTTAGTGTAGAATTCACTCAGGGTAATAGAGGACCACTATGATGATATCAACTCCAATTTAGATCAGAACAGGCATATAAAGTACACAGTTGTTTTTCTTTTATTGTGAGTTTTTTGTTTTTTTAAGAATTAGGTTTTATTTTTGGATTTTTTCTGAGGACCTAACATAGCTAGTGATTCTCAGTTCTCATGAGACTGTTGCTTTTAACAGCGTGCCTAACAGGGCTTACACTCCCAGAGGCTCAACGCAGTGGCGTAGGGTTGCCACTAAGCTGGGAGTCAAGTAAGTCAGTTGCTATGTACTGATGATATAATTTTTTAAGTTGGAAACCTTCAGGATTCTTTGGTTGTTTTTATTTGGTCTTCTAAGACTGTATCGCATGCCTGTTACATGAATGAATTTCTGATCTCCTTTTTGCATGTATCTGATATGATTACATGTACATGCTTAGAATTTTATGGATTTTTTCAAGTTCACCTTTCATAACTTCAGCACGATGAAGAACTTGTTTATGAAAGAAAATATTTACAGTTTGCATGTGTAAGAGCATGACAAATAAACATGTATTTATTTTTAAAATATTAGTGTCAAAATATGATTGGTTCAGCTGATGATGTTACTGATATGGCTACTTTGAGCATATTGTTTATGGCCTCTGTTTTGTAAAGTGTTTGAAGTTTTAAATAATTGCATCTTACAAATTGGAAATAAAATGTTATTTTAGTATAGCCTAGTTTTAACCATGTGAAATTATTCTAAGCTCTGATTATTTTTCTGTAAATGAATTTCTTTGTGACATATTCTCAAGATTTTTGTTATTGCCAGTTTTGCTTTCTTATTCTCATGAACTTTGTACGTGTTTTATGCAGCTTTATCATTTGTATCTTCATTCTCCTCATAAAATAATTTTAACATATTTCTTTTATTGAAAAAACAATAACAGTGAATTAATTCATATTTTTTGCTTTCTTTCATATAATTTTAATCTTTTGAGATATTTCAAAATTAATAATCGTAATACCTATTTATATCACAACTTGTTGTTTATATTTTATTTTAAGACACTTCCAAAATTTATATTTGAAATAAGAAATTAGGTACAAAAATGAGATAAAAATACAAATTACATTTAGAGGTATATTGTTCAAGCATCAGTTTAATTAATTTTTTGAGAAATATTTTCCTGTTGGGGTTCACCAACAATTGGAGTAACATTCATAAATTGTGAAACCAAAAACTTCATATTACAATAGGTTGGTGGATAGGAGGATGTTTTTTAAAAGAAGTTTGTCATTTTTTTCCATGAATCTGAAGAATGAGGTAGAAATATAAAAGATATATCTAACCCCATTTGAGGGTTTCCAAGTTTATTTTTTTGTAATAGCTTACAAATTGTATGTACAAATAAATTATGAAAAGTTTTTAATGCCTAATCATTTTCACAAGATTCTAATCATATGAAATCATTTTTTTTTTTAAACTGTTATTCCCAGAAGTATCAATCTATACTTTTTTCCAGTTGTAAAAGCTAGAGACAGTATGAAACCTTGAGCCAAAATATACTAGTTGATCAGTGTTTGCTAAAGGTGGTAAACTGTGCCTAGGTACATGTACTTTTTAAAGATTTGTTTTATAGTAATCTTAGTTTTCAGTACAAACATTTAATTCTGTCATCTTTTTTTCTTTTTCCGTGGTTTGTGCCTCATTGTCACAAAATTGTTTTCCACACTTTTAATCCATAGGTGTATAATGAGAGTGATGGTTAAATTGCCCTATATTATTAGATTAACCCAGGAGTTAGTGTGGGTGCTGTTGATCAACTACCTTCCTTGTAGTCTATTAGTTCAAAATTCAGGATGGCTCACACGGATAGCCCCTGTGTATTTTTCCATGAATATTGGAAACGTACTCTTTTCACTTATACGTTTATTGTATTAATTATGATATATATAACTGTTTTGACTAATTAATATTCAGATTGATCCATTATTCTGATTTCATTTTTATTCTGAGGCTCATTATATGTAAACCACAATTTAATTTTTTATATATTTACTCAAATTTAAAAATTCTGTCATATCTTTTTTTTTCTAAAATATTTGTAACAGTTGAACTTTATTTTTATGAAAGCATATTGTTAAGCTAAACATAAAAATACCACAAGGCAATTCAGTATAAATGATTTTGTTATAATATTCTTTTCAGTTGTGGTATAGGAGCTATTCATTTATATCATGCTGTTTTTTTTTAGCAAGGTAATTAATGAAGAAAAAGAAGCTGATCCCATGGATGACACCAATTCAAAGTAGGTAGTTGATAAGAGCCACACATTTTAAAACAGCTTTCTTATTTATTTTAAAATTGTGTTGGTCTAAGAAAGATTTTATAGAAATTTTACAAGGTAATTTATTGTTTCTGTCTTCCCCCACCCAACAAAAAGAACTTGTGGTGTTCATAAAATTAAATTTATTTATTTATTAGAATGGACAAAAAATTTAAAGTTTGGAAAGACCTTAAATTTCATTTCACTGGTGTAGTTGCTGTGACAATTACAAACAAATAAGAGGTGGTGTTTCAACTATTTTTTTGCAATTTCATCTGCCCTTAGCAACTCTTTATTAGCTAAGTTGAATTGGTGAGTAAGCTCGTACAAAAATTGTTTTGTTTTGGAAAAAAAAACGTAATTTTTAGTAATTAAATTCAAAAAATTTATTTAGTAGTGGCATCGTTTTTCAAATTCTGGTTAGATTCAACATTTTCATGATTTTTTTCTTCTGATTGTCTATATATTTGTTTTTGTTGAATATTTATTCTTGTTTTTAAGGATTTTATTCTGCTTTCTGTGAAAGTAATTATATTGAGCATTGTTGAACAGTTCTGTAGTCTGTAGGATAGAGCTATGGCAAAAGTTTTAAGCTGATAATTGACAGTTTTCTTAAACTTACAACTACTAAAGATAACTTTTATTGAATGGACTATGTCCCACAAGCCTTTGGCTCATTAATGTAAAGACTGTCAATAACATTTGCCGATAATATGTCTGGTAGGTTTGAACCTTTGAGTGGTTAGCTAATCTTTTCTGTCACTCTTTTTTTGACTGTTACCTGATTTTGGGGGGGTCAATAGGAAAACTGAAATTAATTATTTTTCATTAAAAATTAAATTCTAAAATATTTATTTCAACCTTTAAAGATGTTGTGAAATGTAGGAGGGCAATTGGCTCACTTTTTATTTGTTATTATCGAATATGTTGCTTCAAATGTGAATATTTTAGTACCTGTAATTCATAATTTATGATAGTCTCCTGAAAAGACAAAATGGAAACATCTTTGGAAGATATGCTGGATTTTCAAAATAAAATAATTATTTAAAAGTTCTACTACTACATGTTGTAGTCTTTTTCTGTTTATCAACTTTAGAAGACACTGAGAAAGAAAAAACTGAGAGTTATGCATGAATTTTTAATTTAGTTACTGATAGGCTTAAAAGGTCTCAGAAAACAGCCTTATGGTCCTGGAATTTTGTCAACCTAAAGATGTGGGAACCATGAAATTAATATTTGTTTTACTTATCCAAAGTTGGTATTGAAGGTGGGATTGTTTTCTTTCAGAAGCACATTGTACATAGGAAAAAAAAAAGATCAGTAGTTTGTTTGTGACTTTTAAACAACAAACCCAACTTTTTTTTTTTTTTAGTATTGTTGATGTTAATTCAGCATCTATGGAGTCTCTTGAAGATAGTGCCCAG